TTACAAAGTCCACAACTTAATTATTTATTAAATATGTAAGAGAATTGCAATACATCAAAATTTCTTATAATATCATTTAAATATTAGTCCTTAAGGAATCAAAATTCAAGAAGCAGTGAAACAGTGATCCATGTGTTCAACAATGAATTATGTGAACATTGAGATTTGAGAGAGAAGGAAGCCAGAGTGGAAGTTGAAACTGTTAGTTGGAAGAAGGAGTCCAAATTTTATCTAAATTAAATTAATTAATATTATCAAGAAAACCAGTTTAATCAAGTTGTATCACAGTAAACCTCAAGAGGACTCAACCCCATCATTGTATTTCCAAAATTAAGTATAAACTTTTCTTTTAAACTCTTTTAAATTCAGTGCTAATTGGACTTACCTTTTGGACAACATCAAAATTAGATTTTTTCATTGTTGGGATTTTGTAAGTTTAACACCTTAATTAGGCCTGTTTGGCAGGGCCGGTTTAACCCATACGCGAACTACGCGGCCGCATATGGCGCCACGAAAAAGTGGCGCCGTGGCGCCAACGGAACATTTATTTTTACGTGAACAACGTAATTTTGTTTATTTTTGCTCAGAGTTCAAGTATTCAAAGCACCACAATAAAGGCATTTATTCTGTTTGTACCAACAGCACTTGAAAATTGTGTATATTTGTACAGCACTACAACTCAAGGACTCACTGCCATTTGCAGTTTCGATTTGAACTGAGCTGACGCTCGGCAGTCGGTAGCGTCAGCGCCAGCGCGGCACCTGTGGGTTTCATTTTTACGAATCACTCATGCTCGAGATAAGCAAGCGCGCAGCGCCACTTGTCACAACAAGAAACTTCCCCTTTCTTTCACTCCTTTCTGCCTCTGATCCTAGAGCAGAGCACTACGTTGTATTGCACTCTTTTAGTCGTATACGTAGGCCCACGATTACTAGAAAAATACCGGTACGGATCATAAACATAAACAAATGACGTTGTTGGCCCGAATCCTATACTAATAGCATTGAACACATGTTTTGGCAGTTCCATTTAAGCAATGTTAAAAAATGTTTATTTTCGGGCCAAAAACGTCATTTGTTTATGTTTATGATCCATACCGGTATTTTTCTAGTAATCGTGCGTAGGGCTATACCGTATCGGTATCGTGTGTTTTGGCATTGTTTTGATGATTCATGATTGTTGATAAGCGAATTATTACGAGTGTTTTAAGTTCAATTTATAATTAGCGCATTAAATAAAAAGAAAGTATAAACTGAATGAATGAGTAAAGCATATTGCGAGTCGAAACTATGAAAACAATGGCAGAAAAAAAGAAACCGTCTGGCGCTTATCATAGAAAGCGTAAGGCGAATTTGGAAGAGGAAGAAAAAAAAGCCAAATCAATGAGTAGACTTTTGTAGAAATCATCTGGTGGCGAGTCCAGTCAGCCCAAAGAAGCCACGATAGAAGACGGCAATGACGTAGGTATTTATTTATTTATTTTCCAAGGAAAGATTAAAACAAGCAGCTGATCACAAACGGCAAACATTACGTCATTGCCGTCTTCTATCGTGACGTCATGCTTGACGAGCATTACATTACGACCTGTTTTTTTTGTGTGTCCTTGGTTTTGCTATAGTTTATATGATGAGTAAAAGTGTACGGTATAAATGTCACATTTCTGCGAATAATAAACAGCCTTTTATTGCAAGTTAGTATTCTTCTACCTAAACTTATAAAACAAATTCTTCCCAAAATTATTGGGAAAAAATTCACAAATACGGTTAAGTTATGTTCATGGGTTTGGGGGGGGGGGGGGGGGGGAATTCTAAGTGGCGCTGATTCGGGTGTTCGCTTAACTCTGAAAAATTCCTAGAACCGGCCCTGCTGTTTGGACACTATTAAATTTATTAATTCTTAGCATTCAAGCCAGCACGACACCCTACCCTGAGATATATCACATCTAAATTATTTGAACCTTTATTTCAAACTTATCTTTTATTTCATTTTTAATTTCATCCCCCACACACCATTTTCAGTCCTTTCATTATAACGTTAAGCCTTTTAAATTTCATTGCATGTTTGTTCATTCGTTTCAATAAAACACCTTTTGTAATTCGTAGATCTTTGTTCACTTATTAACTTTAAACTTTTATAGAATAGGCCTAGCCTAAAATGAATATTGTAAGGTGAGTTTACAAAACTAAGCCTTTGTTAAATCTTTTTTTCAACAAGCCTGCTCCTTATCTAAGTTAGGCCTACAACCTTAAATGAATATGTAGCCCTATTTTCTAAAAACCTTTCTATAAATACTTTTGGTAAAAATTTTCCTTAAGAGTCCTTGGAGGCTAGCGGCCATTTTGGATAATTTCAAACAGCTATTGAAGTTATTTATCGTCCAAAAATATTTTTTCAAACACCAAAGTGATTATAATTTAAATATCTAGTATACTGTGAGAATTAGGTTAGGAACCGGTACCGGTACCGACATTGAAAATGTGGTACTGACCCATCACTAATGTCAATGTGTAGTCCTAACTAATTGTAAATATCAAAATGATATTGAAATAATTCTTGGACAACAATCCACATATAAAAGGCTTGGATAAACCCCTCTGAAGGTTTTTCTGGTTACAGTCTTCTGAGTGGAATGACATTAGAGTACAATTACAGTTTTACTCGACTCACAGGAACACTGGAACATGCCTAGATCGGATAACCTAGCTTGGTTAAAAAGGAAAAGTGTTATCAATAAAAGTATGTGCAATGTATTTGGGGGCACAATTTTATCAATGTTTTGTATTGTAGAAAGACAAACAATTCTTTTGTACTACATATTTCAAATATTTCAAATTTTACTCTTGAAAATAGTAGTTCATTGTTGTAAACACACTGTTGAGATGAATAATAAACTACCACTGTAGTCATTAATGAACTTGAATAAATAAATACTGTACAAACTTTTATCGACCTTGAAATTAAAGGATGATACACTATTTACTATGCATAAATTGGAACAAAATTAACAAACTGACAAAATCAAACGTCTGTGTAAATTAACAAACTAAGCCACTGCCACTGTCTACAATGATATGCGTTGTTTGCGTTTACATCTTTCAAACAACACAAGTCAGTGATTCCATTGCTAAAGTTGAGTGACGATGCAATTTAGTAGGTTAAGTGGTGTAATAATATGTTAACCATAAACACAGTACTCCTTTACCATGTGACATGAGGATTACATAATAAACGTAAACTATAACTTTTTTAATGAACTTAAAACTAGTTAAATACAAGAAATTAAAAAAAAACTTCAAGAACAAAAACTTCAATAATATGAGTTTTTGTTGACAATAGGGGTCTGCGGTACAAAAAATTTAAGGTCAGTACGGTACAATATTTTGTACCTTGGTTCTCGGTACAAAATCGGTACGGTACGCGGCTACCCATATTTTTGCGGTTTTCTGCTCAGAACTGTATTTAAACCATTATTTTTAACTTTAATACATTGACATAACTATGAAAATGGATAGTACACATTTAAAGGGTTACATTCATGGTTTTCTAACAACAATTACTGTACCACACATTATTAAAACAAAACCTTTTACTACTACGAGGATTGTGTCAAGAAAAATCACAGTTAAGATAAAGGCTTCACCTATTTTACTCTGAGATACTTTGAATAGCCATGATAAAAGTTTTTTTTTAAATAGGATAAGATTTTTTAGAAACAAACATGTTTGAAACATTTATTGACAAGATAATTTCACACAACTGGTAAATTATTTCCAACCAACACAATGTCTAGTTGTTTTTAAAATTTTTTAAAACATATAGGCCTAAAAGCATTCAGTACGATGACAGTGTAGTTGCTAGCTGTTCACTAGAGGTTATGATGAAGTAATGGCAAAGAGCATATTTTTTATCAGCTTCAAAACTAGTTATAAGATGGATACAACTCTAGAAAAGTTTTTTTCTGAAACTAAAATTTGGATTATCACAGAGTAAGATTATTGTCTTTTCATTTACAAAGTTAACATCCACAATATCAATCATATCAATCATTAGTTTATCTCAGGCTCAATCCAATTTTCTTAGTATATTTTAAAGCTCTTCCAAAGAATCAAAAGACCTAGGCCTAGACCTAATTATTTAGGAGGGTCTATATATAAATTGATTAGGTTTCAATGAGGGTAGCAAAATCACTATCTAGTTCATAAGATTTAGATTGCATAAAGTACTTTCAACACAACACAAAAATGCAGGAAACTAAAAAACATTTAAGCCTTAAACAGCCACATCTAACAATATAAGACAAGATACAGAACATGTAATGACATAATTTGAGGCCGAGTAGGCTTGAATAACGAAAATAAAAATTATGCAAACAACAACAACTATGCTTGTGGTTGTCAATAGAAACATAAAATATCTATAACAAATATTTTAACTTATAAAATAAGATTGTAGATTAGTTACAAGTTTAATATGTAGCCATAAACAGTTTTATGGCAGTAGGCAATGGCCAGCAGCAAATTGAATATCGAAGAAAATACTGACTGAGTTAGAGATAACATTTAACAGTTGTTGACTATTATTTTTATTTTATGATAAAATAGAATTGGAGAAAGTCGTAAAGAAATAAAAGTGATAAAATTCAACAGTTCTTGGAAGTACTTGAATACAACAATTATTGTCGTGATAAAATGTTAATGGATTTGGGACTGCTAATGGGGTTTTTATTGCATCATCACCCTAGTAATAAATTATATTATGAAGATCGTAAACAAACATCTGATAAGACTTTTATGTGCTGGGACCAACTGTCGACTGCGATAGTAAACTGAAAGTAATTTATTATAATAATAAGGCTGTACCGAACCGAATTTGAACCGAATTTGTACTGTGTAAAATGCTGTACCGAACCGATGACGGTAATTAAGCTTGTACCGTACCGACTTTTTCGGTGCACCGCAGACCCCTAGTTGACAAACATGAAAGGAGTTTCATTGACTTACCACAGCATCATATGTAGTGTATTGAGGTTTCATGTCACTGCCTTTTAAAGTGATGAAAGCTCCTTTGTTGCCCATGGTGTCACTGGAATTTAAATAAAAAACATATACAACAGAGTTCAGAGCATATTTTAAGGGATTTCCACTGGGCGAAAGTGGCGCCACCGGGGAGTCTGGGGGATATGGAATACTCTACATAAAAAAAGGGGTCCTCCCCCATAAATCTTTTGCATGGTTTAAACTGAAAATCACACATTTATATGTATCTTTAAATGCATTTTCCGATTATATTTGCTAGTAAATAGTCCTTATGATCTCACTTACCATATTTATTATTGTCATAGATAATTACAGATTTACAGATTTATTATGAGTTTCATTGTTAGCCTAATCAATTGTTTTTATTTAACGGAAGCTGAGAATACTCTAAAATATTTACACAATGTTATTTTTTAAATGAGCTGCTTGTCGAACAATAAGTTACATAACATAATTGGTCACCTCAGACACCTGTGTGGGTTTAAATTTAATTCTAGTATGATGATTTTTTCACTAAATATTAAATTGCAGTATCAATAAGTACGGTAATTGTAAAATAATTGATTAAAAAAACAACACAGATTGGTAATAATTTTTAGTTAATTCACTTCAAAATGGTTAAATAGCAAGTCTTAGAGAAATCTTTGGAGAGGTTTATTACAAATTTTCATTGTCAAAGTTTTTATCCTATGGTACATCAAAATGAAAAAGTAAATCTTTCCCAGGTAGGTACAGGTCTTACCATGAGAACTATGGTAATGGCTTACTCCCTAAATGAGAAATTAGCTAAAAACTAAACTTTTAGCCATAAATTTAAATCTTAAGTAAACAAATTTATGCTTATCGAAAATAATATTTTTTAAAGAAATTTACATACAATTAAGTACTTACCAATAGTTGGGTGCAGAAAAAACTGTGATACATTTGCCATCATGAGCAACTTCATATCCGTCATTCTTAACCTCATGACTTCGTATAATATAGTCAAGATTGTTGGTGTTCAAGAAGTCACTTGTAACATCTGGTCCAAACTGTACACCGACACCTCGCTTGCTGGTAGCTCTACCATACGTTGGCTGAGGATCAGACCATAGCAACTCACACATCAGACCTAGAGAAAACACTGATAGTTTAGAAGTAGGGTCATCCAATAAAGGGATCTTACAATGAATTCACTGAACGGAAATTGAATGAATAGTAATAATATGAGACTACCCTGCTTGGAAACAGATTACTGTACTAAAAGATGTACTAAAGATGTTTCAACTAGCAGCCTGCCTGTTGGAGGGTTAATGTGTTTAGAAGGGTTTAGCAGCGCGACTATAATAGTCGCGTTTTGCAAGGTTTTGGTTAACTCAACTCCAAATAAATCGTTAAAAACAATTGTCAAAATGGGACCATTTTTATACCTTTAGAAAGATAAGATTCTAAACTTGCACTTTGTTACATAGATGAACTTTATCTCACAAAGGGATCACTGTATTCGAGCACTAAAGTGAACGAACATTTCGAGCAAAGTCAGTTGCACCATGTACGTGTCACAAAACTGCCAAAAACGGTATGTTTCAAAAAATCATAACAAGGGATATTCTTTGTCTACAAAGAAACAGGTGGTAGGCCTACCACAGCAATAAGGAAGAAATTTTCTTTATTATGGTGCAAAAATCATTTCAATATAGTAACATATGATCTCACAACAACAAAAATAAATAAATAAATTTTTACGTGTTCGTGAAGTGGCAGAGTAACTATAATAGTAGCAGTCGTAAAACACATTTTATTCACTGAAATATATAATTATCCATATGATAATGTATCTCACTAGAAAGTTCATTAAATTCTGTGCATTGTGGTATTTAATGGATTTAGATTGCACCACTGGTGCTGAAGTGATCAGCTATTACTTTTCGTGAATATTTGTCTGACTAATTTATTTCAATCTCTGTTGACCAACAACTAACTAGTCGGGTTTTGGTATGATTTTACTTTATCAGTTTACATCATGATTATAAGTGTTGTAAATGTTTGGTTTGGGTATTATTTATTGTGCCTTGACTAAAATGTGAAATTACTTTTAGAAACTTGAGACACTATTTTTTGAGAACTTTATTCACTGTTTACCAACAACGAATATTGTGGGTTTGACAGTGACTTTAACACTTTGAATCAAATTTATTAGTCGTAAATTTGTACATATTTAGTTTGTAAACTGTTTTTTGAGCATAGACTTACTAAATTTGAGGTTTGGGACATTACATTTAGCCTGTTTTTGAAATATTTCGTGATAGTGAAGGAACAATTTGATCGCCACATGAAAAAGGCACTCTATATATATAAAACACTTTTTTGCTCTTTATATAAAACACTATAAAATATTTATTTATTTATTTTTGCCTTTATAACTACCTATATATTCATGCAGGGAATAAATTTACTTTTATTTTATATAGTTGTTTTGGGGTTTTATGTCTTTGACAAAAAATATACATGTTTGAATAACAAAATGTATTTTTCTAAAAAAAATATAAATATATAAATGTTAAAAAGATTTACAGTAATGATAATTTTCCATGAACAATTCTTATTTCATTTAATTTATAATCTCAACAAAAAAAAATGTCTACAAATGTATGTAATGGTCTGCAAAATCGTTGAATTTGAAATTTTTTTAGTTTTTTAGGTCATGACTTTCTAAAACAAGATGGTAATTGAATTATTTTTACATTGCCATGTTGGGAAATAAATTCCAAAAATTTTGTATATCTTGAAATTGACATTAAGAATTTTTGTTTCATGCAGCAAAGTTTTAGTTTCAAAATTCAAAAAGCATTCAAAATTTTTTTTAAATTTTTTCTACCTAATGCCAATACATACTGTTCTAGATATTTATTCTGTTGCCATTTTCAATTTCTTCATTTCGTTACAAACAATTCAAGTATATGGTTCAATAGGTATTGATTAATTTTACATGAATTTTCAAAAATATGACTGCAAAATCGACAAAAATGCCTTGCCACTAGAGAGTTTGCCCATTGCCATTTGGAGGGTTAAATAAATACCATATCGGTACCGTAAATCAAGATCATAAAATATATAATAAAAAAATAATAAAAAAGAAAATTTACTATGACAAGAGTATTATATTTTATGTTCACAATACAAAAATAAAACATTAATAATATCATAAAAAATGTGGAATAATTAATTTTCTAATGCTTCCATGTCATTCTAAAGTAAAGTGTGAGTAATGAAGCACGAATGTGAGTAAGTTTTTTTTTTCAACGCGAGGCAGTGAGCTTAGTTAACCCTCGACTCAAAGAGTCAAATCTACAGTGCTACTGGTCCACTCAGTTATTGAGTAAAAACTAGACGAGTCAGACAACTGGCTCAGGATTCACACAACACGTTGTCATGGTCACAGATCGCTTAATCACAGGTTTGTTGTAGGGTTTTTGTGGTTGTATTGTACCCACACAACCTAGAACCACAAATTTATTAAACATGTTTTTTAATTTTTCACCATAAATCCTAACAAAAGCAAACTTTTATAATTATTTGCAAATCTACACGAATTAAGCTTTCTAACGATACATTATTTAACTGAATCGATACAGTAGATCTATAGATTTAGTTATTCAATAATTTCTGACCACTACAAATTCGGAGGTTGCTTCACTTTTGTGCAAATAACTTTTAAATGGTGAGGGAATCGACCAAATAGAAAGTGATATTCTGAAATAGAATAAAATGTCATACAAATTACTACAGTAGAGTACCACAAAATGGTTGGGACCGAACACATTTCGTATCACTGAATATTTTTGATTAAACTTTTTTTTTTTTTTTTTTTTGTCTTTGGGTGCTAGGCACGAGCTCGGGATTGTTTTTTACATTACTTAGACTAGACCTAGGGGTTGCGGCACTATCACTTAGATAAAATCCATAGGTGATTTGGCGGGATTGGAACCCAGGACGAAAATAACAAATGTTTACTTAAAAAATGACTAAATCTAATACTAAAATACTCTATACAACAAGTCTATCTTACCCGGCCTCTACAGAATATTCGACGAGGTACAACTAACTGTTGCAACACGACCGAGCTAGCAGTTTCGGATGAGCCTAATGGGTGATAGCAGGTACTGCGTCATCACTTGTTGTGTCTACAATAAACTGCATTAATATTGTCACTCGTAGATGCTAGTAGGTTCGACTTTCCCCGATTAGTGACAGCCCGTACTGGGTAAAAAAAGTTTATTTTCGGTTTCGGATTAAGCGGACTTTCGGATTAACAAACTTCGGATTATCGGAACTCTACTGTATTATATTTCTTGAAAATGCTCAATAAAGGCAGCAAAAGGTTGCCTCCAAATAATAAATGTGAAAACCCCCATTTTCTTATGTATTTCTTATAGTTTTTTTTCTTTTCATTTTTTTTTCTTAAAACCTAACAAAAACAAACTTTCATAATTATGAGTGTAGGACTTTCGGCCTGGGGTGATTATGAGAAACTTACCCTCCGCAACAAACAATAGGGAACGTGGGTAGCTCTGAGTCTGCTGTCCCCAAAAGATTCCCTATAGGTAAATTGAAAAGATTTTGTGGGTAAGAGGGAAGTAGGGAAGGGGTGATATGGGGTGTACTATGAATAGGATTAGGTACTTCCATGAAGGACCTGAGCCCCAGAGCACTCCAGAGCAGGTATTAGATGGATTTAAATCTAAGTTTGGGCAAGTTTAGTTACAAACACCGAGCTAAAAATTGTATATTTAAACAGTTTTTAACAAATTTTAACGAAGATTTGACGACATATGTGTTACCTCAGTTCAAGATACCAAAACAGTGGGTATGTATAAATTGACCATCATATTAGTTATAGATATTATAGTTTTGTTTAAACATTATAGCTTTTATAGATAGGCTACTGCAGAAGGTGGGGCCCCCATCCGCCTATTTTCGCTATAGCTCTCATAAATCATAAATGTTGACGAATTAGTCTCACTTAATATGATTTCAAGGTATGTTTACATAAGAATCCATCCACTCAATAGTACACAAATATTATCCATACAAAATCTATAATATTAAAACAAAACAGTGTTTTTTTATTTCACGATTCTGAATCAACCACTCGACGGATTGTCATGATTTTTGTGTTGAAAGAAAGATAATTTTGAGAACTAGGGAATGTCGAAGCCATAATTTTAGTTTAGGGTCCCAGTTATTAAAAATTAAGTTTTAATTTTTAAAAAGTCTAGCAGCCGACACTAAGATTCTAAACTAGCTTTTGGCATAAAATAATTTGCTTAACATAACAGCTGTAAACATTCAGCTTTTGTGTCACAAATTCAGCATTTGGATAAAAACATGGATACAAATGTAAAGACATACTGAGGGTTGACTTATTTATACTATGTGTAATGCTAATCATTGATACGTTCAATTCTTTTGTAAGAGGATGACAGATTAATTTAATATACATAGTAAAATACTAGGATGTTCAAATTATTTTTTAAAGCAATCTTTGTAATCTTCGATTTGTTTTAGAGCAATATAATTTGTTTTAACTAACAGCTGGTTAAATAAAAATGCCCTATTAGAACTATGAGGTTATTTACTCTGATTTTGTCATTGATTATTAGAAATAGGTAAGATTAGTAGACCACCGAGAAAAGTAACACCATCGATGTGTACAAGTCGAGGATCTGTACACGAGTTAAATGAAAAAGATTTGCAAATTATTTTACTGCTCATCTTTTTTGGAAAGGGTAGGAAAATCACAATTTTTACATGTTTTAATTCGTCTTGGCAGCTTTTTGTTTACAATCAATGTTTTTGAATGCTTGAACTTTGTTTGGATTAGGCCCGGAAATATTGATGTCATAAAGATGGAGATCAAGAATCCTCAGGAATACGATTTTAAATTACCACCACAACCTCAGACGGGTGTTATCCAAAGATATACAGATGAATGCCATAAATTGAACACAACGTCATCATTGACCTAGGATACTGCAATTAGACTAAACATCCTTTTATGAAATCTAAAAAAAGTTGTTTGGCGTGTGTTTAGTTGTGGTTACATTTGGAGGCGATGAATTTTTTATAGTT